CCCTGGTTTTCGGTCCTTCGGAGTGGTCCGCGAATTTCTTCTCCCACCAAGGCCTCCCGATAGTAAAGTCTGTGAAACCTGGCACAGCCACGTACTTGATTGAACTTGAAGCCTACCAGCAGTTTTTGATTCGTCCTCTTGGGTCACGTAAACTTCTCCACCAGTGGTATGCTACCGGTTTGGGATCTACTCTTCTTATTATCATTTGGTAACGCGGTTGTGTCAAGGATAATTCTACCCGATTTCAGACATTCAACCTGATCACAATCTTTCGTATAATCAGTATTTTATACTAAGAAATATCGGTTAGTTTATGGTTACGCCAATGGATACAGGTCCTACCAGCTACTTTCTTTTTATCAGGAGAATCACATTAGCCTTCTGGAGGATTTGAACCGGTATCTTGTGATCTGACCTGTGGAGCACTAACCACTGTGCTATGGACCCACAGGTCACCTACTGGTTCGATACTTTTTAGAGCCCTAGTTATTATATTAATAATCTTTATATAAGTAAGTTAATTATAATCTATTGTGACAATATAAAGTAATATATATAGATTCTAAAAATCCATATGAAAAAGAAAAGAGATAAATAATAGCTAGTTACTAGTTATATTATAAACCAGTATATATACTTATTAAAAAAAAAAATATAAATTGTTTGATATAATTAAGAGAATTAGGTTTTAAATATATTAAATCTAGGAATCTGTTTGTTATTATAATATAGTCTACAGATTTTTTTTATATTAAAGACCTGATTATCAATATAATATAATCATCTTGTACTGATTTGTTGAAAGAAATAAGTTAACTATAGCTTTTGGTATAGATAGGAATTGAAAAAATAAACAAGAAGATCAACTCTATGAAAATTTTTCTTGAGTATATGAAAACAATAGTAATATCAGATATTTAGAATAGAAACATTTGTTTAGCATATATTTTTAATTATCTGTATTAAACAAGATTAGAACTCAATTATACAAAACCTTATATATATGATCTTTTGTATTAAAGAATTTTTATCTTTTATAACTTATTATATTTCTTTATGTATTTTTAGACTTTAATATAAAGACTAATAATTATTAAAAGTATATTTGATAGCTTTTATATAATCTAATCACAATTTTCAATTAAAAAAATTCTATTGTAACCTTTTTCAATTTAAACTTTTTTAAGCAAAAGAAAAAATTTTTGTTAGGAGATTTATTTTTTTTGATAAAAGTAGCTTTAGCTTAAATAAGATATATATTTGACCAAAATAAAAATATTAATATTCCAGAAAGTTAATAAAAATAATTATAAGATAAGAAAAAAAAGATTTAAAAAGAAAATCTTTAAGGAAAAAAGAAAACAGTTTGTTGGCAAGAAAGAAAATTGAAAAAGAAAAGAAAAAAGAAAAAAAAAAGAAAATTGCTTTCTTGCTTATAATTATCAGATATATAGTATACAAAGTCTTATTACAAAAAAGGTTAATTATTTTCAAAACCTTTCTTTTTCTTGTCTCAAACTTCTGCCATATACAGACTTAATTAGTTTATGTTTTCTTAAACAAGAGTATTTTTTTAGATATATAATATATAATAGTTAGAAAAATCTTATATAATATTAATATATTTTAAACTTTACTTGTTATAGAGTTTTATTTTTTATAGAAAAAAAAAGAAACAAAAGAAAAAGAGAAGAAAATTTTCTAAAAAAAAAGTTTTTGAACAAAATAAAGTAAGTAAAAAAGAGTTTTTTAATTTAATAAAGTTTTTTTTTATTAATTATAAACAATATTTTGTTTATAATATTTTAAAGGGAAAGGAGAAAAGTTTGTACTGATAAAATAAAAACCTCATCAAAACCAATTACTAACCTAATGAAAGTTTTCTTTGATTTTGAAAAAAAAAAGAAACTGATACAAGAGAGAAGAGGAAAGACTTCCAAATATTTCTTATTAAGAGAACTTCTTGACACCTTGCTCTTTTATTTTATTTAATTACATTATCAGTTATAATATGGTATGATACAAGGCATGTGTGGCTACGTATCTTGTTTACATTTCTTTTATATGTCAATCAACTAATCCAAGATTTAAGCCAATCACCAATCAGAGAATCTGGTGTAACAAAAAATTCAGGGTCAAACTGAAATAGGCAAAATTCCTCAGAAAAAATTAAGAAAATTTTGACATGCTTAAAAATATTACTATAGACATATATGATTGATAAAGAAGGATCATATACCTGAGAAGTAGGTTCCTACCAGCTTATCTACCTGCCTGAATCACAGGAGTTTTAATTTATGGTAGATTCAAGGTTCTTATGGAGCTTGAAAAATGTATTTACTTGATAGGTCCAATTAGCTTATCCACTTGCCTCAAAATTAAAGTATTTGCTAATAGTGGATCCAAGATTCTTATGAAACTTGGAAAATGCATTCACTAGTAATTTACTTTCTAAAGTTTCAGATCTTTGGAGAGAATAGTAAAGGGTATTTTTTGACAAGTTTTTTCTTTTCAGAAAGGTATTCTTGTCATAAACCAAATAGATAAAGTTTTGTTTATTTTGTTGTCAAAATATATAAAATTTTTTGAAAAAGGAAGAGTAAACAAGTGGGGGAGGTACCAGCCTTTAGGAAATAATGTTATTAAGAAAAGTATATAGATTTTATTATTAAAAATAAAAATTATTTTTGAGAATATCTATTTTTTGGATTGGCAAAAGAATTAACAGAAAGAATATAACTGTTTATAAATATATATATATAAGCTATTAATAAATTATTTTTAATATAATATTATTTACTTAATATATTATTATTTCAAAAGTTCTATATATAATAAATTGATATTAATTTAAATAGATGCTTAATATAATAATAGAATTAATATTTAATTTATAAAATCTTATATTTTATACTTATTTGTAATAAAAAAAAATATTATTATTATTATTAATATAGTATTAATATTTCTTTTAGCAAGTTTGTTACTTCTTTAAAGCAATTTTCATATAATATCAAATAGGTTTTTGATTTTTCTACTTGAAGTATATAATTTGTTTAGACAAGTTCTAATAATTTTTTTCTTTTCTTTCTATTATTTACTTTTTGATCAGTCTTTATTACTTTTCTTTTGTGATTATAGATATCTTCTCTTATGACTAGTATTGGATTAGATAAGTTAATTAGATTTTACTTACTTAAACAACATTAATTATATATTTTAATTAAAAAGTTTTTAATTAAGAAGTGACTTTTATTATTATTATTTTTTTTTTATTATTATTTTATCTATTGTTCTTATTTTTATTTTTATTATTATTATTTCTTTTTTTTTTTTTCTTTTTTTTTTTATATAAGTATAACACATTTTCATTAAGCTATTATTGTATTATACAGTTTTTACTAAGCTAAAATAGATTAATTATATTAACAAGTTATCTAAAATTATAATTAATTTAAGTTTTTAAAATTATATTATAGTTTAATATATCACTATAAACTATAGACTATTTACTATTGAAAATTAAGGCACACAACACACTGGAGCATGTTTGTGCAGTCATATTCCATACTATTTCTTTATCAACAATAGTTAATTAAAAAAAAAAAAAAAAAAATTAATAGATTTATTATATATTAAAATTTATATTAAAATACTTTTGAATATCTTATATATTAATAAAAGTAAAATAAATAAATAAAATATATTTTATAATAATCATATATACAGTATATAAATTTCTAATTATTATTATTATTATTATTATTTTAATTGCAAAAAGACATTAAATGTGAGACCTTAATATAAATTTTTAATTATTTTTATTAAAATTATAATTTAATATAGTTATTTAATTTATAATAATCTTATTGTATTTTGATAAACATTACGTTATTGCAATACAAATCTTAATATATTGCAGCCTATTGTAATCTATGTCATCTGATATACAAAAATCTATAAAAGTAAATCTTGCAGGCGCTCTTGCAAACCTTCTCCGCCACTCGTAATAAATAAATGTACTACATCGGTTCTGCATTTCAAATACCTGTGCAACCGCAATACATTACTTCCTTAGAATTCTTTTGTTTTCATAGAACTGCAAAGTCAAATAATAATAATATAATAAAAGAATCTGAAATATTCTTAGTTCACGAATCAAACTCATGTTTGCAGCAAATGATTCTGAAACTGAAATTTATTATGCTTCGGAATCATTACCCGATCTCGACAGTGAGTTAGAGGAAAACACCATGCAAGACGAAGATATAGAGGCAACTAGTGATGCCGAGGATCTATCAATTAGTCGTCATTATACCGATTTTAATACAACGAATATGGACCTAGATGGCGAGTATACTTCCGAAGATGAAGAACGACGTCCTCGCGTGTCAGCAGCATATGGAATCTTTCAACGTCTCGGAGTTCCATATACCGCTCGCCATCATCGCAGATCATCGTCGCAACGCATCCGCGGCTTCTCTCCATTAAGTTCGCGGGTGTCTTTGCGAAGGTCAAATGCTATTACACCTTCTTTTCTTTCACAACGTGTAAAGCATAATAGCGAACTAGGTTCAAAAACCATAAATGGCGTTGGTTCAAAGGAATTAGGACAATTTCATTTACCTGAATCTAGTTTTTTGCGTGCTGGGATGACTTTTAAAGGAACACAAAATTTGATGAACACACAACCTTCACAGAGCAATGAAGAATGGGAAGTCAAAGTGGTATGGTGTTGTCAAAAGCCATTGAAGATTTAACATCCTCCATGTGTGGGACATTGTCTGATCACATTCAACTAACAAACCCATTTCGTCCTTATGAATGGTAGACCGTTCATTATGTGAATTATAAAACTGGTACGGTCATTGGGTTAATGGAAGCTTTAAATGTACCATCTAGTTCAAATACAGTTGTTACATATTGGGAGGGAGAGATGATTGATTTTGTCAATCATTCACTTTGGACAGACAAATGGAATTCTACTCCAGAAATTGATCTTCAACATTGGAAAAAGTTTGATGCTTTTCGTCACATGGATGTCAGAAGGTAATTAATAAACCTTAATAAAATCCAGATTATCTTCCATTCCATATCTTTTTTTCTTATTGGTCGCGTTCGTCTTTTTTAATTAGTATACTCAGAGGGACTTCTCGGGAGTGGTTTCAGGAGGCATGTCAAAAATACATATTTATGAGATGGAAAGGTGAATGTTGATCTTTAATCTCAAGACACATTATTTATTCATCAGTTTTTTGTTTATTGAAGTTTTCTCTTTCGAATTAGAACATTATTTTGTCAATGTGACCGCTCAAGAGAGTGGGTTAACTATTGCCGGTTTTTATTATATCTGTATCAGGAGAAGTGATGGAGCTATCGAAGGTATTGACCTTTGGAATTATTCTGTGACGTTGTTACCATAAGTGAACATTGTATTCATGGTGCTTGTCTCTTTTAGGTTATTATTTTGATCCAGTATCTACACCCTATCAAAAGTTAACCCTCAAACCATTATTAGAAGGAAATGGGGTTTCATTCTGTGATTATAGTTTTAATTAAAAAAAAAAAACCATTTTCTAAAAAAAAAAATGAAAATTTGGATGAATGAAAAAGTTGCGCATTTTCAAGCTTATCTCAAATCGATTATTTTGTTCGACAAGAAAATTTTGTGGTACACTTTATGCGTAGTAAAATCTTATTTTATTTCATTTCTAAAAGGTGCCCTTAAAACATTTTGTATTGTAGTATATACTGTATATCTTCTAGCAATAAGTATTTTTTCTTGTCTCTTATGAACATATACATCTTGCGATGAAAATAATCTACATTCGTGTCATATCAAACACTTATTATTATTTTCATGTTATAAGAAAGAAAACGAATGGGTCCATCTTATAATTCTGAAGGTTATATCTAAATGTGGACATGACATTCGGTGTTAAATTATTGAGAATTACAAACACATTTTTCTTTGTACAAATTTTTATAAACATTTTATTTTATATATTTTTTTTAATTATAAGAATAACAAAAAAAAAATAATAAATTTTTGATTATTCAACTTGCGATTAATTATCACTATAAACTTTTATTTTTGTTCATTATTGTTTTTTTTTTTGCATGTATCGTGAAATTACTTCTTAAAGGTTCTTATCCGATGTATCAGGAGCCTCGAATCAAGAATAAAATTGCAAATTTTGTAAATTAATTTTGCTTTATATCCCCAAAGATGAATTGCAGTCTATTC